ATCAGTCTCTGCCAGTTCACACCCCATCAATGTGTATTTATATTTAGGATTTTTGGCACCAATGTGCATCACCTTGCACTTGGCCACATTGAACCCCATTTGCCATTTTGACGCCCAGTTGCCCATCCTTGACAGATCCCTTTGGAGTGCCTCACAATCCTCACTGGTTTTCACCACCCTGAACAACTTTGTATCATCCGCAAATTTAGCTACTTCACTCCTTACTCCCAACTCCAAATCATTAATGAACAAGTTAAAAAGCAGTGGACCAAGTACTGATCTCTGTGGTACCCCACTGCTTACCTTCCTCCACTGAGAAAATTGCCCATTTATACTCACTCTCTGTTTTCTATTAATTAGCCAGTCTTTGATCCATAAAAGGACTTGTCCTTTTATCCCATGATTTTTGAGCTTACTTAGGAGCCTTTGATGAGGAACTTTATCAAAAGCTTTCTGGAAGTCAAGGTAAACAATATCTATTGGATCCCCCTTGTCCACATGTTTGTTCACCCCCTCAAAGAACATTAACAGGTTAGTGAGACAAGATCTTCCCTTACAGAACCCATGCTGAGTCTGCCTCAATAGGTTTTGTTCATCTATGTGCCTACTGATTCTTTCCTTAATAATGGTTTCCACCAATTTACCCGGTATCAACGTCAGACTGACTGACCTGTAATTTCCTGGATCTCCTCTGGAACCCTTTTTAAAGATGGGAATGACATTAGCTACCTTCCAGACCTCAGGAATTGTTGGCAGTGTAATGTCTCTACTTTTTATTATGCTGTCTAGGTTTGCCATAGCTTTCCTCCCAAGGAGCAGGCATCTTTTAATTTCATGGCTGCAGTCACCGTCTGCAGTGATCTTGGATCCCAGGAATGTGAATTCTGTCACTGCTTCTGTGATGTCCCCTTCTTTTTGCCAAGGAGAGATGGGGCTGGATTACTTGATCTTAGTTTTTTTGATGTTGAGTTTCAAGCCAACTTTTGCACTCCTCTTTCATCCTCAGCAAGAGGTTCTTTAGGTCCTCTTCACTTTCTGCCATTAGAGTGGTATTGTCTGCATATCTGAGGTTTTTGATGTGTTTCCTGGCAATCTTAATTCCGGCTTGTGATTCATCTAGGCCAGCATGTCGCATGATGTACTCTGCATATAAATTAAATAAGGAAGGTGACAATATTCATCCTTGCCGATTCTAAACCAATCAGTTGTTCCATATCCGGTTCTAACTGTTGCTTCCTGACTTCTAACGGCAATATACAGATTAGCTGTTGAAGGAGCAATAGATCTGATCCTCATAACAAATGAGTTCGACACCTCTGAACCTAAGTCTGTGCATGTACTGGTTTTACCTCAGAGTTATCTATATTGAGTTACCTAAGAAATTTCAACCCCTGATTTCACTGACCTTTCCCCTCTATGTTCAATAAAATATTTTGTTATTAAACTACCAAGAGCCTTGAGTACCATTTCAGTGTTTTAAGTTAAAGGGGGATCCCGACCCTTCCCTCAGGTGCCTGGGTTGAGCCAGCAGTAAAATATCAGTCTGCAACAGGGTGGGGAAGCCAGAGTTCTTGAGGGAAAAAGAAAACCGACCACTAGGGCTGCTCAATCAGAAAGGCAAATAGAAACAGAGGGACAATCTTGCCTCTGGGGGAGGTATATGGATGGGATTGTCATAATGGCTCACTAAGGTCCCGTTCATACGCGGCGATTTGGGCCAGTTGCGGGCCAGTTTGGGGGCGGATCAAAGCAGCGCGATCACACCACAACATCTGGGAAGCGTTCTGCTTCCGCCCCCAAACTGGCCCTTTCTGGGAAAACGCGCCTCAAGTTGACACCACCTACCTCGGTGGTTCAACTCCTTGGCGCGCTTCAGGCCGGGCGTTTGATCGCCGGCGCTCCCTTGCCCTGGCTCAACCCCGGCCTGGAGCTCGGCAACAGAGTGGGGAAGCCAGAGTTCTTGAGGAAAAAAGAAAACTGACCACTAGGGCTGCTCAATCAGAAAGGCAAATAGAAACAGAGGGACAATCTTGCCTCTGAGGGAGGGGAATGGATGGGATTGTCATAATGGCTCACTAAGTTTGCAAATTCTTGACAGATTTTTCTTATGTTTTACTCCCTGCATGTCTTGCTCCCTGGGTTGTCCTCCTCAACACACTTCTGGGGTAGCTGAGGCTGACAGTGAGTGACAGGCCTAAGTTTACCCAGTAAGGATAAAATAACCATATTAAAAGTACCGATATTGCAATTGTAATAGTCATGTATAAAAACAGCAGTTTAGGGTCCATCCATCCCCCCCCCGCTACCGTAGGGTTCTCGCGCTACATGTTGGATCATGACATTTGTGGGGGAAAAGTTAAGGTGCAATTCTGGGGAATCCATGAAGATAAGTTTGCCAATTCCATTTTGGGTAATTCCTGGAGATTTTGTGGCAGTGTCTGTTGAGGGCAGAATTTGGAGAGGGGAGGAAATTCAGCAAGGTGATGATGCCACAGAGTCCCCATCTAAACCTGCCATTTTCTCCAGGGAACAAGTCTCTGTAGTCTGGAGATAATTTGTAATTCCAGAAAAACTCCAGGCCCCACCCGGAGGTTGGCAACCCTACATCTAAAGATGGTCTTGCCCTAGCTGGTAGGAAGTGTGGGATTAGTGATGTAACAAATAGCAACACACTGAATGTCTTTTTAATTTTTTTTTAGAGAAGTCATTGAAAGCTCTAAGAAAGCCCTGAGTTTACTGCAAATAGAACATCCTTCTTTTAAGCCAACACTTTCGATAGTTCAGGTAATATATATATATATTATTTTTAAAGTGACATTGTTGCCTTTCCAGCAAAAGAAAGGCTATAGCTGGGTATGGCATGTGTACTGATGCGTGTATCCATGAGAGTAAGAGTAAAGATGTGCATCTGAGTTTTAAAGTATAGTGAGAGCTGCTGGAAGCCTTGATCATGAAATCTGTGTGGTAGTTCTCCTTTTATGCTGTCATACTTTTTACTTTTTAAAATACAATTAGGGAGAAGCTGTTGGAACCATATTTCCTTTGGGATTCAATTTTGCATTCCGCAGTCTTTAAATACTGTGAATTTGTAAGAAGCTTTTTCTTCCCCTATACTAATTACCAGCATCCTGTCCAACACTGATCTGTTGCTAATTATACATAGATGGAAGGCGTTGTTAGAAAGAAGGTTGAAACAGAAAACCCAGTGGGTATTTTTCCCCCCCCATGTATGCCTAGAATTTGGATTCAGAAATAAGCAACCGGCCCATGCTTGGAGTTTGTATAGCCATCCATTTGCAGGCAATTGAACTTCAGTTGTCACATTTTGTTGCAGGCATTCTAAATGCCATCACGCCTAGCACACTGTAATATACCCTGCTTCTTGGTTCAGGTTGTCTTGCATAAATATAAACACTTCATAGGCCTTCTGTACTACTTCCCTTTCTTGGCATTTTCTGCAAAATGCTCCTGAATGCCATGCTAGCATGTTTCAGCTTGTATCTTGTTTGGGCCCATCTCAGATTTAATGTAGCGTTAAGAATGTGAAGGGGTTATACTCCTGTTGCAAAGCTAGGTCCGCAGCCTGGAAATGGCTTAGAGTGCTTTTGCCTAGCTTCAGCTGGTTATCCAGTTTCCTGGTTCAGCCAGACTTTGCCACAGTGATCCATGCCTTAGTTACTGTACAGGTTTTGCCCACCCAAGCCAGTCCAGGGATGGGAGGGAACCCTGTACTTTTACAGTACATTAAACAACAAACCACGAGATGGACTATATCCTCTCTGGTTTTCAGAACAATATGCCACCAGAACCTCTACAGTAGTTCCCCCCCAACCTGAGATTAGAGGTTCAAACTCTCAGTTGGTATCTGGAACTTAACACATTAGCAACTCACTCCCAAAGATGCACACTTAATCTTACAAAGGTAGTAGCTTATATGGTGAGCAGAAGGCACAAGATTTAGACTTGGAACTCAGGTACAACATCAGAGACCATTTAGACATAAGAATAATTTTTATTCAGTACAGAGCATAACCCAGGCTACCAGAGATTACCAAAATAACAAGCCTAAGGCAATTTGCTTTAACTACACAATAAACATCCAAACAGTAACTATACAGTAACTTCACAGGAACATCCAAACAGTCCAAGGTATACAGTCCAATTAGACAAAAGGGATTTTGAGTAGAAATCCCATCCTTGCACCCATGTGCTCCAGTTCACAAAGCAACTCTTTGTCTCTCACGAGGCAGCATTTCCAGGTGCAAGCAGAGAGAGCAGGAGCAGAGACTCTCTCTCATTGGGATCAAACAATTATACCCCCATCTAGTCATGATTAGCCGTGGCCATGCAGCCAATCACGAGTGGACAGGGGATGTGCCCAATTGTCGGTTGTCATAGCTGCATGTGGGGACAGGCCAGAAGTTTGGGAACTCCTCCTGCAGTCAGGTGACCCATCCTCTAGCTTCTCCATTGCCTACGTGACTTGTTGAATGTGAGGCAGAGCTAGGAGCCATCAGGTCTGCCTCTTCCACTTAGAGGTGTGAAAGAATGTGTGGTTATATGGCATGGTTATAAAGTTTCTCTGGCCAAATGGTCAGGCCATTTGGCTTGCGAGAGGAAATAAGACACAGCATGTTATCAGAAAGACATCACAGGAGAAGGCATGGATTATAGAAAGCAGAAATCAAAATTTCTATACAGTTACATCTAGACTAGATTATTGCAATATGCTTTACTTGGGGCTACCCTTGAAGAGAGTTCAGAAGCTGCAACTAGTGCAGAATGCTGCAGCTAGACTACTGGTTGGGGCCAGCTACTGGGAGCATGTGAGCTTGATACTACAGTGATTACGCTGGCTTTCGATCCACTCCCAAGCCCAATTCAAAGTGTTGGTTTTGTCCTTTAAAGTCCTACCTGACTTGGGACCAGGTTATCCAAAGGAGTGCCTTCTCCATACGGCTCAGAAATTAAGATCACAGGGAGAGGCTCTCCTGACTGTCTCGCCAATCGAAGAAGCTCATCTTTTTCCTTACAGGTTTTAAAATAATTTGTTTTGTCATCCTGCCAAGGTCGGTGATGATGATTTGGGGCAAGAAATGAGAAACTTCGCTGATGAGGTAAGGGTGCGACAACGTGATTAATTTTTGAAATTGAATTAAAAGATGGCCTGGTTCTGTAGCAAATCGTTTCATTTTTTTATTTTTGCAGATTGGTCTGAATATCACATGTAGTTGCCTCCCTTGTGATTACACCGAAAGTGAGGTAATTTTCTTTTTATTGAGGCATTGATAACATCTTGATTAGTGGCATTTTCCCTCAAATCCTATGTACATGGCAGTAAATAGCCTGTAAACATTCTAAAGGAAAACACATTTACTTGTACATTTCAGCAGGCTGTGCGGCTTGAAGCTATATAGGACTGTATAGAATTAAGTCCACAGAGCTCAGTGGGACTTACTTCACAAATAAGAGAGGGTTAGTCTTTCTTGCAGGTAGGTTTTCTTAGGACCTGACTATACAGCTGTTCCTATCTATCAGAAGCAAGTCTTGATGGGTTTGGTGGTACTTACTACTGAGTGCATATGATTGCAGCCTGAAGTAGCTGGACTTAATTTAAGACCAAGTTCTTAAATGACCCCAGCAATTTGCTGACTGACTATGAGTATGCTACAACTTTCTAAAAATAACAAAGGAAGGAATTCAAGGGTAAGAGTGATCATCTTTGGCGTCCCAATTCACCCCATCAGCAGTATGCTAACGGTTGCATTTGCCCTTGCTTTCTCGTAAAACATGAGAATTGTAGATGCTGTAATGCTGTTTGTTTGGGATTTCCCTCAGAAGTTCTTGATGTAAGAAACATGCTGCATTTAATTCATTATGCCATTCTGTGCTGTAAGTTGATTGTCATTCTGCTGTTAATCCTAATTAGACAGCTATCAAATTCTGTGCTTGTGAAAGCTGTCAAAAACAATATAAACTTTCAAACAAACAGATTCCTATAAGGTGTTTTTAGTTGCTGTTTTCTGAGTTATTTTCAGCGATACTACTGTTGCTTTCTCATCACTACCTTTGCAAAAAAGAAGGTAATGGGTGGAATAGTGAAAACGCTTCATGTGGTAGAAATGTGAATAGAAATTTTATTCTGGTTTGGTTAATTGTGATCACTGATTCCCCCCCGCCCATATCTTCATCATTGTTATGCCATTGTTATGCCCTTGAACCTCTCTTCCTCACCCAGTTGAGATGAGTTAGTTCCATTCACACCTCCTTTCTGAATTTCAGGTAGCTAGGGGAAAGGGCCCCTGTTTCACAGGCCATTGGAAATCTGGCACACAGAAGCATGATTCTAGCCCAGGCTAGCCCTGTCTCATCAAATCTCGGAAGCTAAGCAGGAGTGGCCTTGGCTAATATTTGGAGGGGTGACTGCCAAGGAATACTAGGGTCGTGACGCAGAGGCAGGCAATGGCAAACCAACTCTGAAACATCTCTTGCCTTAAAAACAAGTCTAGCTCACCACCTAGTGGTGCATAACACTAAAAGAGCCAGAACTTCTGGCTGCCAGACCATCTTGGGATCTCCTGGCTAGACGCTACCATACAATTATTAATAATTATTATTATGATTCTGAGGTTCACCCCATCTTTTTTTGCTGCCAGGATAGTTGGAGGTCTACTTCAAATAGAAAAATTAAGGGGCACTAAGCCCTTTGTGCATAGATGAATCCAGTAGGCATTTCAGCACATTTGTTCCATGCCTAAATCGACTTATATCTGCTATTCCTCAGAGAGTTGGTTAGCTTACTGGGAGAAAATTAAATGCTTCACACAGCAAAATAAGGCACAATGATAATGGGCTTTACAGCCTTTTGCCTCCATTCTGTGTTGTTGTAAAAAAAATCCCTTACTTTACATATAAATTAACAGCCTTGAACACAATTGAGGTCTCCAGGGCTGTTTTTAGACAAGGAGAGCTGAAAATTATCTCCCCATACCTCTGTGTGTGAGAGAGGGGGGGGGAGAGGGGGGGAGACCAGTACCTCCACTCTGCAAAGCAGATAGGTTGCCTATCATCTTGGGGAAAGAATAGAGCACAACAAGGCTGTGATCACACTGGTGGCTTGGCGCGATATGGTGCCACCTCTAATTGAACCGGGTTAAAGTGTAGTGGCACCCTGCTGTGGATTACCCATGAAGACATCTACTGGGAGACATCTACATTATTGTGGCGCCTCAGCCACTGAGCGAACTGCAAAAAACCCCACCAAACACCATGTGTGTGCGTAGTGTGCATGCACACGCATGTACACATAGGCAAGTCTTTTAAAAAACCGCCTCCATAGTGGTAGAACAGACCTGCAGGTTCACACTGCCAAATCCGTTCTGCGCACGCTCCCCCGTGTTCAGACATCTGGCCATGCGCAATGAATGTGCGGGAAAACAAAAACACCACTTCGGAGGTGGTGGCTTTTTAACACAGCTCCAAGTCGTCCTCTGACGGGGTGAGTACGCCCAGGGAGCACCTGACAGATGTGGCTATGTGATCTTGCCCGTTTAATCCGTTTGTACAATGTGCCTATATCGGGCCAGTCTGAACACAACCCAAGAATGGTATCTTATAGTTCCCATTCTTGTTCTTGTTTAATGTTTACCCCATTTCCACTCACTGGGAGTTTCAAGTTCACTGTCAAAATTTGGCATTGCTGGTAGTGAATTCCTGAAAGCCAGGTAAGATAACATCCAAGACCCTTCAGTAGTCTAGTGTATTATGATGATACCTCGCCAAACTCCCCACCCCCCCCCGGTGTTCTCAGTGCTTTAAGGAAAAACATGGGGTGTCCCCCCCCCCAAGCACCAAGAAGACAGAGCATCACTTGCCCTAGAGCCTCTAGCTATACCTTGTGGCTAATAGCCACTGATGGACCTCTGCTGTATTTATTGGAAACATTTATATCTTGGCTACTAACCAAATGGTTTTAAGATGGCCTACAATATTCCACAGCCCAATGTTGATAACATGTCATCACAGGAAAAACTGATTTCTAGATCCTAAAAGCACTAAAAATCAGTACTATTAACAGCATCAGCAACATCAGTAAGTGACAGATGCATACATAAAGCTTGGTCTTACTTTGATTTATCAGCAAAGAAAATTAAATAAACCAATAAATAAAATGTGTTAAAATACTACAACGGTCAAAAAAAGATAATATATAAAGGTGTTACTGAGGGCAAAAAAGATAATGAAATGTCAAAATACTACAGTTAAATTTACTGATCTGCTCTTTCAAATCTGGCCGTTCTCCTTTTACTTCAGACAGAAGCTCATCTTCTCAGGTTCCAAAGGTTAAAAAAAATTCTCTCTCCAATATAGAAGCTGTACAGCTTGGATAAAAGCAGACTTCCTTTCTTCCCCTCCCAATGTCAACTCCTGAATGAGGGAGGGAATTTGGAAAACATATTATTTTTGCTAGGCAGTAACCCTTGCCTCTTTTGTGAACCCCCTGTCGGTAATGGGTAGGTTTGCTCCCTGCCACAGAATGTCCTGGTGGGCAGTGTTCCCTCTAAGCTGAGTTAGTGTGAGCTAGCTCATAGTTTTTAGCTTCCAGCTCACACATTTTTGCTTTAGCTCAGGAAGGAATGGCTCCAGAGGGAACATTGCTCCACAGCTTAGAGGGAACATTGCTGGTGGGCAGAATTTTTCCTGCAGGGAATACATGACAACGATTCACTTATTTAGCAGAAGAAATCTAGTCCTGTTAAAATCACGAGTCTGTATTTTGGAAGACATCACGTAGTTTGCATTCCAACATGTTCTTTATTTCCTATTTTTTTGTTGAACTAGGAAGTCTGAAGTAGTGTTGCGGCCATGTACTTCCCTCAGGAAGTTTCAGCACCTTATGATTGCTGCAGTTTCACAGCATCTTGATGTGTCTGTAAAGTGATTGAACCGCTCCTACCATTCATCCCCTTAAGTCATAGCTGTACAATCTGAAGCAGTGTCCTTAGAGTGGTCCAGTATTGTCTCATAGCATAGTGCAATGTATGTTGCAGTTCATTCTTTGCTGGGAAGTGCTCTGAAGACATGGAAGTATGAGAGTGTACAAGAGCAGATATGACACTAGGTGGGAAGCTGACTTCTGAATACCAGTGCTATGAGGCAGCATCAGGGGAAGGCTTTGGCCTCTTTGCAGGGGCAGACTGGCCATTCAGCCTACCGGGTAAGGTTCTGGTGGGTTGATTGCTGGGGGGAGGGGGGGAACCACAACCACTGAGTAGCAAAGTGGGCAGGAGCCACCACTGCTACAAACTGGGAGCCCCTTTAAGGGAAGTGGGAGCTACTGCCACTGTAAACCAGTGGCCCCTGCCTTGTGGGAGCCAGCAATCCCCTGGACAAAGCTGATAGACACGAAGTGGTGGAGTTACTAACACTGCAAGCCAGCAGTCCCCACAGTCCACTTCACCCAGCCCTACACAAGGCAGATGGATGCAAAATGGGCAGGAGCTGATGCAACTACAAGCCGGTGGCCCCATCCCATATAATATGGATGAGCACAAGCCAGACACAGAAGCCATGTCAATCCTGTTCCTTCTCTCCCTCCATGGGGGGTGGGAATGGCCCATCTTATTTTATTTATTTATTTATTTGTCTCATTTATACCCCGCCCTCCCCGCAAAGCAGGCTCAGGGCGGCTTCCACTCAAGCATAAATACAATTAAAGCATACAATCATATAAAGACACAACAGTTAAAAACAGATACAAATTCACAAAGTGCTGGTAGCAATTAATTAATTATCCAAGATGGCTCACTTTCAGAATAGATTTCAACTTCCCAGATGTTTATTTTTATTTATTTATTTATTATTACATTTATACCCCACCCTCCCCGCAAGCAGGCTCAGGGCTTCCCCATCCATTGTGGAGCAGGCCTGGTGTGTGGGGATGTTTCCAGGGATGTTTCTGCCGCTCAGTCCATCATTGCCTCTATGACCTGTTTGTTGGTCCTACAGAGTAACTGGTTTGCCTCTTTGTGGAACAGGTTCCTGGGCTAGATGGACCACCATTCTAATCCAGCAGGGCTCTTCTTCTGTTCTTCTGGAACTGCAGAGCTATCGATGCCTTTCTGTTATATTCTTCAGCCTCTGCAAGTGATTCTGTTTCTTGATGAGCAAGCTTTTCATATTTTTAAACTCCCGATACAGTCCGATTTGTTATTGTTCTAATATTGAAGGCTTCTGACTTTTAAAAAAGAAATCCAGTTTAACTATTATGCTAACTTCTAGGTTGCTGATGAAATCATAAAACTGAATGAGGATCATAATATTCATGGCCTTGTACTTCGTCACTTTAACAAGTCATATACCAGCAAAATAATGAACGCTGTGAAACTAGAGAAAGATGTGAATGGGTAAGTAAGTACTATAAAATCCATTGACAAATGTCTCATTAGAAATGCAGCAAAATACCCGTTTCTAGCTAATGGGTTCCACAGTAACTCTGGCTTGGTTTACATGGGCAGCAAAATGAGATGGTAAAATTCCAAGGGTCACATTTTTAATGCTCATCCATGTAAAAATTATTTGAAAATTAAAAACAAAACTCATAAAAGGGGGGGGGGGGATCGCCTAGCTTTTCACATGTTTACTCACTTTCTGCTTACGGGGAATCGTTTATGTATGGGAATGTGGAAACATGTCATCTCTCACCTCCAGTCTGAAGTGCTTTCTACCAGCACAGTCTATTCTATTGCTTCAGTACTCTGTCACCTCACTACTTTGTCATATATATTTAGATTAAATCCTATGATGACTAATTGCATCAAGAAAACCCTCTTGCATGAGAGGAGGGCCCTTTTTGCCAAGAGACAGCACTGCCGTCAGTGGAACAAATCCAACCTATTCCTTTGAAAACAAATATAAGGATTCTATACTTAAATCATATCGATAAGTAACATGATATACTATAAATTTCACAAGTGCAGTGACAGAAGTCATTTTCTAAAAGTATTTGATGTAATCCAGTCTCTTGGCAGCATTTTGTATTATGTCACTCCAGCTCAGCTGATCATCTTTATAATATTTATTTGTTAACCAAGGTAACAACCCCCCCCCCCGGATATTTAACTAAAAGTGGAAGGACCGAGTATATTAGAATAGTAATCAGAAGCTAGTTGTTTGTAGACCAAAGCCTTCAGACATAGGCTGTGATCACACGAGCAGTTTGGTCCGACGCAGCCACCCCTCCACTCTGGACCAAATGGGTGCAGTCACACAGCCACATAGGTGTCCCCCAGGCATACTCACCCCGTCTTAGGATGACTTGGAGCTGGGTTAAAAAGGGTTAAAAAAACAAGTTGTGTTTTTGGTTCCATGTGCATTTATTGCATGTGGCCAGATGTCTGAACATGGGGGAGCACACACAAAATGGATTGGCGGTCTGAATCTGCAGATCCGTTCCCGCTGCTAGAGTGGGTATTTTTATTTTTGCATGTATGTGCATGTGCATGCATGTGGATGAATGCATGTGTGCATATGCGTGCACACGTGCACATATACACACTCATGAGTGCACATGCACAACCATGCATTTTGGAAAATGACCGGGTAGCACACTCCGTGGCTGAGACAATGCAGTAATGTTGATGCTTTACCACAGGATATCTGTGTGAGTAACCTGCAGCATGCCCTGCAACAATTTAAGCCAGTACAATTAGAGCCGGCGCCATATTGTGCCAAGCTACCAGTGTACCCACAGTCATAGTGTCCCCTCTCCACCTTTAGTTTCAATCAGAGGCAAAAGCGGCATTTCAAGGAATTCTAGTAGGGATGGCATGAACTGGCTGACAAACTAACGTTCGCCAAAAATCTTGGCCTGTTTACAATTTGTGAAGTAATGTTCACAAACTGAAGAACCACCATGAACTTTCATGAATATTGATACAGTTCATGGTGGTCTGTGAAGAGCAGAAAGCAGGAGTTTAAATTTGTGATGAACTTTAGTTTGTCAGCCAGTTCATGCCCACCCCTACTAGCAATCCCTTCAAATGCCTCTTTTGCCTCTGACGGTTTAAACCCCTGCTTTCTGTTCCCCCTGCTGCTCAGCTGTTTGATTTAAATGGCTGGGAGCCATTTAAACCCCTGCTTTCTGCTCCCTGTGAAAAGCCATGGGGAGCAGAAAGCAGTGGTTTAAATAGCTCCAAGTCTGGGGCTGGCTGCCTGAGCTCCAAGTCTGGGGCTGTTTAAGCTGATCGGCATGGAGCAAACTGCTCTGCATGGGCCAGCTGTTTAAAGAGGCTTTCTTTGATACACAGCCCCTGGGGTAGCCAGCCCCTGAGTCACAAGGAGCAAACTGCTCCCGTGGATCAGCCGTTTAAAGGGGCTTTCTTGTGCAGTGCTGGCTGATCCGTGTAGAGCAAACTGCTCCTTGGGACAGCTGATCTATGTGGAGCTGTTTGGAAACCCCTGCTTTCTGCTCCCTATGACTGGCTGTCAAAGAAAGCCCCTTTCTGCTCCCTACAAAAAGCCACAGGGAACAGAATGCAAGGGTTTAAACTTTAAATGGCTCACAAACCAACCTCCCAGTTCATATGGGTTCATGGTTCGGTTCGTGGTTCAGCCATGAATCCCAAACCAAAAAAGCGTGGTTTGTGCCCATCCCTAATAGCTGGTGCTGTGGCCACAAGACTGAGGACTAACTCGAAGGTCCTCCCTAATGGCAACAGAGCAACACATGCGTCTTCTCTCCATGCTTCCAGCTCATATCTAAAGCAGGAAATTACATTCACCTTCCCCATAAGGGATATATGCATTTTCCTTGGCAACTTATGCTCCTTCTGCTGCTGCTTCTGGACCATATTAGAAGTTTGGCAGGACATTTTGAGCAGAGGGGCTAGTTCCTAGAGGGATCGTTCTGTGCACAGTGGCACTCCAGATGCTAACCTGGGACATGGGTAAAAATGATTGGGAGACAGGGAAGAAAATGTGTTTGGGTTTCAAAATGATTGCCTCAAGAAGGGAGCAGTGGTATCTAAAACCCACTTTCTTTTGTTTTTGCTCTGCAGCCGTAGAGTCTTTATTCTAGTGTCTGAGAATAATTCGATACTAGAAGTTTGCTTATAGATGGTCTCTTCTAATATTTTATTCTATTTTTTAATTATCAGATTTATACCCCACCCTCCTTAGCCAGAGCCGGCTCAGGGCAGCTTACAGAAAGAATAGCGGCTTACAGAAATAATTCAATTAATCCAATTAATAAAGATTGAATTAATAATAATTCAGTTAATAAAGCATGTTATTTAGCAACTCTAGAAGCACTTTCTATTTCTGTCTAACAAATTTTAACAGACTTCCCCCGTTTCCTTATATGGAGCCTGTCTGACCAAGCGACTTTTCAGGTGGACAGTAGAGTGACTCTCTGAAGAAGTGAGCAGTGTGACTCACGAAAGCTCATACCCTGCCACAAATTTTGTTAGTCTTTAAGGCGTTACTGGACTCTTGCTCTTTTCTACTGCTACAGACAAACTACCCATCGAATGGAGCTACAATGAGTGTAAATGGGTATTGAATGTGGTTTTATGTGGCAACAGATGGGAGAGTGAGAGTGTGCTTAGCAATGGGAAAGTAAAGGTGGGAAGAGAAGAACAAAATTTTCTCCAGAAGTGACAGGCTGTTTCAAACAAAGTACAAGTCAGCTACGCTACTCCAAGGTATAGCTTTTGATGTGTACATGTTTCCTGAATGTATACAAATGGACTCTAGCTGGTCCCCTGTTATCATTCTAAAAAAAATGTACTTTTTTACATGTACTTACAGATGCATACTTATATATTTTTCTGTCACAGAGTAACAGATGTTAACTTGGGACGATTAGTGCATGGAGACATGAATGAATGTGTAACTCCCCCCATTGCTAGTGCAGTGATCCAGCTTCTGGAAAAACTAGGTATGATATTTTTTATTTTGCTGTCCCCGGCAACAGTACTTGGGTATGTTCATGTCTAGCTCAGCAAAGTGAACTGGATCAAATAGCTGTCTCCCCGTTTTAAGTTCTCTTCTGTAAATTTACTACCTTCCAAGTTTGTAGTAGGGTATGTGGTTTCGTGAGCCACTGCTCACTTCTTCAGATACAGCTGGGCAGATAAAGCTGAGCAGTAACTCATGAAAGCTCATACTCTACCACAAATTTTGTTAGCCTTTAAGGTACTACTGGACTCTTACTGTTTTCTGTTGCTACAGACAAACTAGCACAACTACCCATCTTGATCCACCTTCCACAGGGAGTTGTGAAAATATGCTCCCTTCCAGTCTTTCAGGTATTACCAGTACAGATGAACCCTTGGTGCAGTGCTGGAGTATACATTGATGAGTAATTCAGCTCCTCAATGCTTCCACATACGAAGGAGGAGGCAGATGTTGTTTATCACTGCAGTTTTAGACTGGTGGAATTATGAGACCTTAAAAGGCAGAGCTGGTGGCAGTTTGCAAGAGAATGACTTGAGATTTTTTGTATGCTGTGGAAGAGTAGAAGGCAAGAAACATAGAATGTATTTGAATTGTGTGGGGTTAGATCTTTTCATAACTAGATAAATAACAAATGTGTGCAAGTAAAATATATGATTTAGTAGCAAGGTGTTATTAATAGCTCTGCTACTGAAGCCAAGATTGTCATTACTTATCTAACTACATAAAAGACAGATTTTTGTCTGTTAATCTGTCAGAGTCAATCACATAGTTCTTTTTGTACTGCATGGTTGTCTTTAGCATCAGAAAAATTGATGGAGTATTTCTGTTCTCATTCTCCCAATCACATGTTTTCACAGAAAGGGGAAAGAAACCCCATATCCTTAGATGAAAGCCTCCGATTCAGTTGTGTATTCTCCAGTAAGGGTAATGTAGGTAACTAGAGCAATTGTTATCTTCCAATATCCAGCAAATACTTCTCTAGATGGGAAAAAGGTGTTACTCTTGGGAGTTCAAGGACCCTTAGAAGTCTCTCTGCAGTGCCTTCTTCAAAGAAAAGGAGTCATGACCATGAGCTGCCCTTGGAAAATGAAGCAACTTCAGGCTACGGTAAATGCTGTACCTAATTAAACATTCGTTTTCCTCTTATATTTAGTACTAAGCAAGCTCTTTCATTCACTCTGAATTTATTAGTTAGTTTGTTTACTTCATCTGTACCCTGCTTTTTTCCCCAGTGGGGTCCCAAAAGTGGCTTACATTGTTCTCCTTTCCTCTTTCCTCACTTCGGCCCTGTGAGGTAGGTTAGACTGAGTGTGTGTGACTGGCTGAAGGTCACCCTGCAAGCTTCTTTGTTGAAGTGGAGAAAATGGAGATTCATGCCTGGGTCTCCCAGATAGGCTTGTCAAGTCCCCCCGGGGCCGGGGAAACCCCCGCCAGCGGATCGGGCCCCGGGAGGAACCCCACCCTCAAAGTACGTGACGTGCACGTCACCCGGAAGTGACGCGACCACGCCGGGCACACTGGGGGTAGGGCCACGGTCAACCGAGGGAAAACTCTATGGTTTTCTCTCGGATGGTCGTGGCCCTGCCCCCAGCGTGCCCGGCGTGGTTGCGGTGCGCGCGCACTCCAGGAGCAAGCCAGGAGTCCCACGCTGCAGCAACAGGTAGGACTTGGCAACCCTACTCCCAGATCCTGGTCAGATACACTTAACTACTACACTGCACTAACAGCTTTTGTTCATTCAATGAATTTGGGTCACCATTTCGTTACTTTTCTACCCTCTTATCCATGTGCAGTGAGATCTGGAACAGGTTTTGGGTTCAGTTGCATCTCTTCCCTCTTTCCC